TTTTGCGATCATTTTCAATGCGCTGATTTGTGCGACCTCGAGAGAAAAGGAAATCAGATGGTTTTGAGGCAAAAACCAAACCTCTAGATATCTGGTAAAAATGTCGGCAACATGGCTTTCTAGAATTAGATTCGGAATGTTTTTTCAGGTTAAAGTCAATGAAACAAACATAACAGCTAAGACAATGTATTTTCTAACTTAAAAAACAAGAAACTGAGAACCTAAATATAATATATCTTTTAATATAAACAACGGTAACGACGACAGGAAATATCCTCAGCGCTTAACATTGGGCGTCTTGCAAACTGAAAACCATGGCAACAACATATCAACAATCCTTCCGCACGAACTTTTTGATACATTTTATCTCAATAAGTGGAGTATGATCGGTAAATATCGCAAAGAAGGTTGTAGATCTACTGATCTCGATGAATTACAATATAGAACGCTTTTTAACAAAATATCGTAAAACGAAACCAAAGTAATCACAACAGCAAATCAGATGGACGGCAAATGCCTTGAAGATGAGAACTCAAAATAAAACCAATCAAACTGCCTGAAGCGCGGGAAAACGTGAGAGACCATGTGGTGATTGGCTTAATTTTTGTACCTGATTAGTAGAAAGAGTGGCGCGAGTTTTCTGGTCGCTGCGATTGACGTATGAAGTCATCGGTATGTGGCATGTCAGATATCGGCCATTTTCGCTGGCAATCAAATTCGTCGCCATCGGCGAATTAATTCACCGAGTATCTCTTCGGCTTAAGAGACCTCTTGACAGTTATTCGACAAGGTTGAGCAAACTATCGTGATTTGACAGTAGCGTGCATAACATATTATTCATCACTGTTTAAATTTCATGAGAATTGCCAGGAAAGGAAAAGAAAACAAAAGGAAAAAGAGAATTTCACTTTACCCTTCTAAGAAAAAATTGGTTGTCTATTTCGATTCTATCTTATTGTTCGTAAGCGATATTAAATTTAAATAAAAACTCCGCGAATTCTCCATGCATGGAATAACTTGCACACGCAAAGTCGCTAAAAAGTGCAACTCCAGCTTGGAGAGAGAAAACAAATAAAAACGGCTACTCACATAACCCATAGTCCTACGCGTAATTTCGCGCGAGCTTCCAAAATTTAAATGTCTGAGCACGCGTTACGCGTTACGCGTCACGCGTCACGTCAGTTCGTTTTTATTTTAAAACATTTTGCCTTCCCATAGCATGTTTCTGAATTACAGTTAAGATGTTTCAGTTTTTTAATTGGTCAAATGACAATCTTGGCTACATACTCAAATTTTAAAAGCTACACGGGTGTGGCCATCACGTCCATGATACACTGCAACAATTCGTCCTCATGGTCAACTTTGTTTTGGAGTGTCGAGCATAATCACAAGGTCTACGTCTCCAATTCTTACGCCAGAAAACACTTAGAGATTTTATTCGTTGATCGGCGAAAATCATCAGGCGCTGTGCACTAATCGCCGCGATTGGCATATAAAATCGTTGATATCTGGCATGTCACTTTGTATTAGCGGCTTAAGGTCCTAAGGGCAGGAACATATTATTTGCGCCATTTCCCCCAATCGCCATCTTTGACGTCTTAAAAACAGAAGTGCTTTTGACAGATTCAGTGGCCACCTGTCCTCCCGTTTGGCCCGAGCGAAATGATGGTTTGGGGTTAGCACAACCTCGTTCGGTGATCTGAACTCCGCTAGGTTAACGGACGGGGAATAACAGTGGGGACTCTACGAACACTGTGATCAGCTCCTCACCGGTCACCACTCGGACCCCTATTATATTATTACATCCCTACGGCATAAATGACTTTCCTTGCAGTTTTCAGTCTTTAAATTTGTGGGCTCCTCAAAAGTGTGGGCAGCTGATGGATTGAATCGCTATATGTTAGTCCAAGTTCGAATGTCTTGTTCTGGAGCAATTGTCGGTCTAACAGCTTTCTTTAACTCTTTAATTACCGGAGCCAACGGGTACAATCTTCAAGTTAGCCGGTCGTCTTACACTGGAATGACATTTGTTTTAAGACTTCAATGAAGAGCGCGAGCCTCTTTTCCGACAGTACGGGTGTTCTATGGAAGATCCGAAGGCGCAAAGATCTCCAACCTCAAGCCATGTTCGTTAGGGGATCGAGCGATTCTCTAAAATTTCGTCGTCCCATTCTAAGCCCTTTGGATCCAAGTCCTGATGAAAAAGCATCCCTGGAAGAATAAACGGAGCTGCCATTCCAGCAAGTCACGAACGGAATTGACCATTGAAAGTATACCACGCCTAGTACAAAGTCGATCTTTAATGAGCACTTTTAAATCAAATGTGCCAGTCGAGACGAACCAAGATACAACCAGGTGCATCACAGTTGCATGTCTCCCATCACAGATTGCAGTGCGCGCAGGGCTTCTTCTTGCAGCATCATATCGATTGATGTCTTTTTCTGAAACACGAGAAACACAGGCTGTTCTTTTAAACGAAATAAAAACGTTTGCAGACGGAACTATTTAAGAAACCTACACGACGCACTCTTCCTACTTTATCAAGAATACGATCGTTGATGTCTCGCCACCTGCTCTGCATCTTAGGAGACAATCTCTCTATAACATTTCTTATGTTGTCGGGGATTTAAACCATGTTGAGATACCCGGTAGTTTTGAGGATGTTGGTGCAATCGAACAGGAGAATTGAAACACCTACAAATTCAGCTTCCTTCTGGGTTTAGGTACAAACAGCTACGCACAATCTGTTGAGCTCTTCCTTATGTGTTGCTCCAACAAATACAATCTGCCTGCACTTTCATGTTTATTTCCTTCAGTAACAGTCTCGAAGACATCCGCGAAAAAACATTAAACGGGGGCTTTTTTTCTGGATTACGAGTTTTCTGCTGCTGATTTACGAATTCCTCCTTCGCACGATTTTGCCGTTCAAGATTATAGTAGGCTTGGTCTCTAAGGCTAAATTCGTCATCAGTGTCTAAAGCAGAAGATCTCGGAACCGTTTTTTGCTAAGTCTTCTGACTCACGAGTACGATAATCGCATTATAAAACATGGATCAAATTCTGTTTGGAGCTCTGGGGGATCTCCTCGGGAGGACTGGCCTCGCATGGTGCGGATGAGGGAGCATGGACACGACGCCAAGAGTAGTCCTTTCAACATTTACCTTAGCATACTCGTCTTCCCTAGCTACTGCCTTCTTGTGTTTCTTTTCCAGTTTAAGCTGGTCGAATTGATCATTAGTCTGAGAAATCCTATGAGGTGAAAAGAGTTAGAAAAACATTTGTTTGTAACCTCTAGGAAAACATTGAATGTTTGAATTTAAATTCAAATCTCAGTTTTTATTGTTAATATTGTAGCGCATCTCAGTTTTCATTATTAAGTGCATCTCAATTTTTATTATTTATTGCCGACAACCAAGAAACCTCTCTTTTGGTTAACAGGACGAGCGAGATTTTGCCTACGGGCTCTTGAGTCAAGCGGAATTGGAGTAAGGAGAACTGGAGGTAAATCCATTGAATGAATATGAATATGTGTTACCTATATTACTTCTTTTGTTTCTAATGGGTGCGCTTGAGGTTTGGTGAACAAGGCTGAAGATTTGTTTTTCAACTGCAGTATTATGTTTAAAACCTGGTGAACTGTAAGAAAATTGATTAAGGTAGAATTTACACCAAAAACACATTAGTAGATAATTACATCTGATAAATATCATTCTAAATGCTGTTACTATCGTCATTATCATTGCTCAGAAATGCAGTTTAGAATTTGAACGTTTATATTTCTGTCACAGATCGAAACACGAGGGTACAGACCCGAATCATTGTGAGTATCTTAGTATATATATATATATATATATATATATATATATATATATATGGGCAAAAGTAAAAGCGAAGAAAATTATAAAGGAGAAGCTTTTTAACGTGGGTGGTTTTCCGAGAGCGAAGCTCAAAGAATACCAATAGCTCCGATAAACAGAAAATGTTCAAGGTGAATTATTCAAGAACACTTTCGCGCCAAATATAGATTATTGTGTACTCACAATCCATAGGATATTTTGGCTATGCGCAGTACAAATTTTTTTCGAACAGCTTTCTGACCCTTTATTGCTTTTGATTTTCAAATTTTAGTTGAAAATTTGATAACACCATATATCCCCCAGTTTTCGGCCGGGTGACGCGTTACATTTGATATATTAGAACGTGGAATATTCTTTTTCTGCAGTGATTATGGATAGTCACGCATCTTTTGATCCGCTGGGTATGGATTAAAAGTGCAGGAATCAAATTTGTCATGACGGAAGAGGCTACTCTTCTTTGTTTATTATTCCACCACCTCGTAAGCAACGAAGAGCATTGTTTTGAATAATGTCAACCTAGATCTAATATTTGGCGATAATTTTACCAAAATTAAGCATTGGCTGATTAGTTAAACTTTAAGGACGTGAATGGAATACCGTGAGTGTTAGCAGGGAAGGTCAAAAGGAAAATCCAGGCAACCTCTTACTTTCAAGTGTATTTTAGCATACAAATGTAAAATAGAAGTCTTTGGTCTATTTTTCTCTTTTAATGTAATGCTACACAGGAACAGCAACGAAGAAAAGAGCAAGAAGAGCTCGAGAGGTATGAGTGTAAACGATAAAGGGAAATACGATGAGAACTTTTAAATTGATCCTTAATCTAATTAATTTCATGATTTTATGTCTAGGTAACACAAAACAGATCATCCGTGAGGCTGCATTGATTTTAACATTGGCCTAAATTCAAAATAAAGAAATAGTGTTTCACTGAATCTTGTAACTGATATTTTCCCTAGAAATGTTGAGCAACACTTCAGAGACGAAAAGTTGAGTTGTATTATTTGCAGTTTGGTGCGGAAGTTAGACTGATAATTAGCACAGGTTAAAAATGAATGGAATCCGTGTCACTTTGGAAAATCTCACGAGCAGTTGTAGCACTTAGTTCTCTCTGACTCATTTATTCTGTTTGATTCATTCTCTTAAAGTGTGGAGGAGCTGCTTAAAATCAAGCACGAGCTGACAAAAGAAAGGGATGAAAAGCTGTCTGAAATTGCCAGAGTAAGGGTTTTTGATTTCATATTTTCCATTCAAATTTTCTTTCGCTCTTTTACATGCTCTGTGAATTTTCATGAGCCAGCAAATGTTCAACAAAAATTTCAACATAAAAACCGTCTTTATACAGTAAGTTATCGCGTGCAGTTTAGTAACTTTGCAAAAACATCTACGTTATCGTGTTTTAAAAAAGTATGAAAAGTAAGACTCGCAAATCCGTGCAAAGCTAATGCCAGACCCTGTTGTCATTTTTTGTAGAAACTGGTAAATATGGGGTCCCTTATAAATTTTTATGTCTGCCACAAATTTCCATAAAACCTCACAGACTCCTTGATATTGATATTTTTTAATAAATGTTTATTAACAAGCAACGAATATGATTTTTTTCAGTAAAAAGTTAGAAAGCACAATGATCTTCTAAGTGGTCCATTAGATCTTAAATTGATAGACGACAGGTTTCCATAGTTATACATTAGGTTACATTCGAATGACTTTTTTTTGACAGCTGAAAGAAGACATTCAAGTCCAAAGTAATAAAGCTCAGCGAGAAGCTAGAAAAGGAGAGGAACTTAAAAAGGAGTTGAGTCAAGCAAAGAGCGATTTAGAAAATAGAACTGCTGAGCTGAAGACAAAAGCAGGAAATCTTGAAAGTGCACAGGAAGACATCACAAAACTTGACCAGCAACTCAAGGAACAGAGGGTAAATTTGTTTAGAGTTTTTATTCAATTTTCATTTGTCTTCAAAAAGAAAAACTTTTAAGCTTCCCTTAGTCATGGATACTTCTTTAATTAGAGAGGAATGGCTTCCAAGTGTTGATGATAATATTTGATTTATTTTAGATAATGAATGAAAAAGCTGTGGAGTATACGGATGTGTTGAATGCTCGCCTAAACAAAGTCCAGCAAGATTTTGATCAGCAACTTGTCAGCATTGATCGGCTTGCCACGGAAAACGCAGAGAAAGCAGCGGAGTTGAAGGCAAAGGAAGACGACATAAACGGGCTGAGACAGGAAACACTGCATCAAAGTGCAATGGCAGAAGCCATCCAGAGAAAGCTGAGAGCCATTGAGGATCAGAAGATTGAGGCTGAACAACGAGAAGAAACTCTTAAAGGACAAGTTTCTGCCTTGAAAAAAGGTAAGTGGAATGATGGTATGAAAAGAGAATGTTTGTCTATTTTGAAACTAGGCAGATCTCAGACATATCTGGCTTTCTCTTTTCCTCATTTCTAGAGTAGCCCCAACAAGGCAAAGTCACCTTAATCAAGACTTTGCTGTAGATTTAAGGGACTTACAAATATAGACAAGGTCAACCACAAATTGCAGCTTTTTCCAAGTCCTATCCTGTTAACTAAGTTATTTTTGTTGTATGATTAGTACTAAGGTGAGCTGCAATTTATGGAACGGCAGGAAAGAAGCTCTTCCAGTCTCCCAGACCCTAGTTGTGTGCAACTACCAACTGAGCTACGAAGCCACACACTGGTAGCGGGGCACAACATAAAGGATTGTTATGATAATAAACTTTTAGTTCAATGTTAGAAATTATGTTGCTATCCATTGCGGTGAATATTTTGATAGATGTTGTATGGTTCGTGTCACGATATTGAGTCAGGCAAACAATTCATGTCGATTGCCTGACTCATTACGGTGACATAAACGATAAAAAATCTATTAAATTCTTTAGTTCTCGTTAAAATCTATGTCATTACAAATAATGATAATTAGATTGTCAAACATACTCACCAATTAAGATTACTCAAATGAGATGTAACCATTACAATCTATAAACTCTCCCTTCCTTTATTGTAATCAGAACTTGAATCAAGCAGAATGGAAGCTGAAGCAGATAAAAAAGCCATCGATGATCTTGTCTGCGAAAGGGACATCCTTAACCAGGTACTTTACTCTTATCGATTTTACTCTTAATCTGAGCTTAGGAGTTTTTTGTTTTCGGTTTTTAGAAGGGGATGTTGTATCTAATATTTGGTTTTATTTTTGTTAATAAACCCTTTAAAAAATTTTGAATTTGGAGTCAAGAGGTTCTTGTTGTCGGACCTCATCCCGTTTGCTGCGTTTTGAATGAACCTGGAGTATTTACATTCCTCCTGGATAAGCCGCTGGCAAACATCTGTATTCTAAATTTTGAAGACAAAAACATCCTCAAACAGTTGCTCATCGTGTGTTCTTAAGTAAATTTTTAAAGTTAGAGAAAATGCAGTTTTTGACTCATTACAACGTGTGACTCTAAACTTGCCAATCTATGCCGAGCAAGTGCTAGACCCTGTTGTCATTTTGTTGTAGAAACTGGCAAATATAAGATCTCATATAAATCTTGATATGTTTGCCACAAATGTCGATGAAACCTCTCGGACTCCCCAATATTGCTATGTATATAATAACAATGGTTATTAATCAAAGTGCTCTGTGAGCAAACTCGTGAATTGACACATGATTTTTTAGATTATGTTTAATGTTATCTGGTTTAGGGAATTTTGTGGTTGATTGTCATATCTAGAGTACGAGCAGTAGTTCAGTGTTCGCTAATGTAGCAAAGAAACAAAGTAACGTTGGGATAAGAAGGCATTACAATTGAAATGATCATGCTATTACATTTGACAAGGTGGATGATGTCATGTGTTTTAAACGTCTATCATTTTTGTTTCTGGTTCAAAAGAAAAGGTTGGAAGTAAATGTGGGTGAAAAGTGAAATTTACTGTCTTTCGTTGTAAATATTAGAAAATCAAGGCAATACTGTCTTAATGAAAACATTAACGATTCCCTCTTTATCAAATGAGACAAACGGGAACGAGTTTTGAGTGATATAACTAAGCCAAGCCTGCCACCGTCATTTTGGATCTCCGCCTGGGTAGATTTAGGTCACGTGCTAGGCAACGTATGATCAATAACAAGATAGAATTTCATTTCAGGCCTATTTATCAATTTTGTGGTGTGTAACTTTCGCATTTTAGTACGTTGTATGTATGTTGAATCGTCAAATTGTCTTGAAACTTAAAAGAAAATTGTTCTTTAAAAATTCACTGAAAATCGGTAGCTAAAATTGTTTGTTTAGGTGTTATCTGATTTTCGTGTTAACTTGTTATTTCGTCAGTCGCCGGCATCTTTTGTTGCTTCACAGAGGAAAAACACACGCGACGAAACGTAATGATCAATTTTGTCCTCAATCTCACGCTATAACAGAAAAAGCTTTTGAACATCTGTAAACTCCGAGCGCTTCGCAGTAAGTGATATTTTCAATGAATCTTCGGATTGTTTTCAAGTTCAAGGATTGTAAATTACAATTTTATGAAAAACGAAGGTTGTTCTGTTATTTCAGTGTGAATCCTTGCATGCCTGCCAGTCGCTGGCACCGCTTGTTGAAACTAAAACGAAAAAAAAAACTCTTTTAAGATTATCATTGGCTTCTCTTTCACCCCACCACTATTCTTAGCAACAAAGGTCGCCATTTCGTCTGTTTATTGCTCACCAAAAACTATAAAATGCACTCAAAAGCCTAAAATCTAAAAAAAGTTTACAGGAATCGACCAATCGAGCGAGCGAGCGAGCGAGCGAGTGCCATTCCCCACATCGTATCTATAACTCGCTCTTGCGCATGCGCACAATTCACGAGTTAAAAAGCAACGAATATGATTTTTTTTGTTTCAGTAAAAGGTTAGAAAGCAATATTATCTTCTGAGGGGTCCATCACATTTTAAAATTAATAGAAACACGTTTCCATAGTTATGCGATAGGTTAAATTTGTATGATTTTTTGTTTTCACAGTTTAAAGTAGACATCCAAGTCCAAAGTGACAGAGCTCAGAAAGAAGCTAAAAAAGGGGAGGAACTTGAAAAGGAGTTGAGTCAAGCAAAGAGCGATTTAGAAAATAGAACCGCTGAGCTGAAGACAAAAACAGAAAATCTTCAACGTGCACAGGAAGACATCACAAAACTTGACCAGCAACTCAAGGAACAGAGGGTAAATTTGTTTTTTAGGCTTTCCTCGGTCATGGATACTTCTTTAATTAGAAAGGAATGGCTTTCAAGTGTTGATGATAATATTTCATTTATTTTTTAGATAATGAATGAAAAAGCAATGGAGTATACAGATGTGTTGAATGCTCGCCTAAACAAAGTCCAGCAAGATTTTGATCAGCAACTTGTCAGCATTGATCGGCTGGCCACGGAAAGCACACAGAAGGCAGCCGAATTGAAGGCAAAGGAAGACGAGATAAACGGGCTGAGACAGGAAACACTGCACCGAAGTGCAGTGGCAGAAGCCATCCAAAGAAAGCTGAGAGCCATCGAGGATTTGAAGATTAATGCTGAACAACGCGAAGAAACTCTTAAAGGACAGGTTTCTTGCTTGAAAAAAGGTAAGTGGAATGATAGTATGAAAAGAGGATGTTTGTCTATTTTGAAACTAGGCAGATCTCAGACATATCTGGCTTTCCCTTTCCTCAGTTCTAGAGTAGCCCAACAAGGCGAAGTCGCCTTAATCGTGATTTTGCGTGTAGATTTAAGGGACTTAAGAATATAGACAAGGTCAACTACAATGCAGCTTTTTCAAAGTGTTATCCTATATATAAGTTATCTTTGTTGTATGATTAGTACAAAGGTGAGCTGCAATTTATACAACGGCAGGAAAGAAGCTTTCCAGTCTCCCAGACACTAGTTGTGTGCAACTACCAACTGAGCTACGAAGCCACACCCTGGGAGCGGGGCACAATTTAAAGGATTCTTGTAATAATAAACTTTTAGTTCAGTGTTAGAAATTATGTTGGTATCCATTGTGGTGAATATTTTTATAGATGTTGTATGGTTCGTGTCACGATATGGAGTCAGGCGAACAATTCATATCGATTACCTGACTCAATATGGTGAGATAAACAATAAGACATCTATTACATTCTTTAGTTCTCGTTAAAAACTTTATGTCATTACAAATGATGATAATTAGATTGTTCGACACACTTATCAATTAAAACTGCTCAAATGAGATGTAACCTCTACAATCGATAAACTCTCTCTTCCTTTATCTTATTCAGAACTTGAATCAAGGAAAAATCAAGCTGAAGCAGATAAAAAAGCCATCGATGATCTTGTCTGTGAAAGGGACATCCTTAACCAAGTACTTTACTCTTGTCAATTTTGTACTTAATCTGAGCTTAGGAGTTTTGTGTTTTTGGTTTTTAGAAGGGGATGTGATATTTAATATTTTATTTTTGTCGACAAATCCTTTAAAAATTTTTGAATTTGGAGTCAAGTGGCTCTTGTTCTCGGACCTCATCTTGTTTACTGCGTTATAGATGAACCTGGAGTATTTACATTCCTCCTAGTTAAACCACGAGCATATATCTGTACTCAAAAGTTTAAAGACAAAAACATCTTCCTACAGTAGTTCATCGTGTGTTCTTAGGTACATTTTTAAAGTTAGAGAAAATGCAGTTTTGACTCATTACAACGTATGACTCTAAACTTGCCAATCTATGCCAAGGAAGTGCTTGACCCTGTTGTCATTTCTTTGTAGAAGTTGGCAGATATAGGGTCTCATATATAAATCTTGATATGTTTGCCACAGATGTCCATCAAACCCCTCCGACTCTCTAATATTGCTATCTTTATAAATGGTTATTAAGAAGCAACGAATATGATGTTTTTGTTCCAGTAAAAAGGTTAGAAAGCAAGATTGTCTTCTAAGGTGTCCATCACATTTTAAAATTAATAGAAACAGTTTTCCATGGTTAAAAATTTGGTTAAATTTGTAGGATTTTGTTTGTTCCGATAGTTTAAAGAAGAAATCCAAGTCCAAAGTGATCAAGCCCAGCGAGAAGCTAGAAAAGGAGACGAACTTAAAAAAAAGTTGAGTCAATCAAAGAGCGATTTAGAAAATAGAACTGCTGAGCTGAAGACAAACACAGAAAATCTTCAACGTGCACAGGAAGACATCACAAAACTTGACCAGCAACTCAAGGAACAGAGGGTAAATTTGTTAAGAGTTTCTATTCAATTTTCATGTCTTCAAACGTTCATGTCAATATTCTCGCGATAGAAAAAAAAACTTTTAGGCTTCCCCTGGATATGGATACTTCTTTAATTAAAGAGGAATGGCTTTCAAGTGTCGATGATAATATTTGGTTTATTTTAGATAATGAATGAAAAAGCTGTGGAGTATACGGATGTGTTGAATGCTCGCCTAAACAAAGTCCAGCAAGATTTTGATCAGCAACTTATCAGCATTGATCGGCTGGCCACGGAAAACACACAGAAGGCAGCCGAGTTGAAGGCAAAGGAAGACGAGATAAACGGGCTGAGACAGGAAACACTGCACCAAAGTGCAATGGCAGAAACCATCCAGAGAAAGCTGAGAGCCATCGAGGATTTGAAGATTGAGGCTGAACAACGCGAAGAAACTCTTAAAGGACAGGTTTCTTGCTTGAAAAATGGTAAGTGGAATGATGGTATGAAAAGAGAATGTTTGTCTGTTTTGAAACTAGGCAGATCTCAGACATATCTGGCTTTCCCTTTTCTTCAGTTCTAGAGTAGCCCAACAAGGCGAAGTCGCCTTAATCGTGATTTTGCGTGTAGATTTAAGGGACTTACGAATATAGACAAGGTCAACAACAATGCAGCTTTTTCAAAGTATTATCCTATATATAAGTTATCTTTGTTGTATGATTAGTACAAAGGTGAGCTGCAATTTATACAACGGCAGGGAAGAAGCTTTCCAGTCTCCCAGACACTAGTTGTGTGCAACTACCAACTGAGCTACGAAGCCACACGCTGGGAGCGGGGCACAATTTAAAGGATTCTTGTGATAATAAACTTTTAGTTCAGTGTTAGAAATTATGTTGGTATCGATTGTGGTGAATATTTTTATAGATGTTGTATGGTTCGTGTCACGAGATGGAGTCAGGCGAACAATTCATATCGATTGCCTGACCCAATATGGTGAGATAAACAATAAGACATCTATTACATTCTTTAGTTCTCGTTAAAAACTTTTGTTCGACATACTTATCAATTAAAACTGCTCAAATGAGATGTAACCTTTACAATCTATAATCTCTCTCTTCCTTTATCTTATTCAGAACTTGAATCAAGGAAAAATCAAGCTGAAGCAGATAAAAAAGCCATCGATGATCTTGTCTGTGAAAGGGACATCCTTAACCAGGTACTTTACTCTTGTCAATTTTATACTTAATCTGAGCTTAGGTAGTTTGTGTTTTTTGGTTTTTAGAAGGGGATGTTATATTTAATATTTTATTTTATTTTTGTCGACAAATCCTTTAAAAATTTTTGAATTTGGAGTCAAGTGGCTCTTGTTCTCGGACCTCATCCTGTTTACTGCGTTATAAATGAACCTGGAGTATTTACATTCCTCCTAGTTAAACCACGAGCATATATCTGTACTCAAAAGTTTAAAGGTAAAAACATCTTCCTATAGTAGTTCATCGTGTGTTCTTAGGTACATTTTTAAAGTTAGGGATAATGCGGTTTTTGACTCATTACAACGTATGACTCTAAACTTGCCAATCTATGCCAAGGAAGTGCTTGACCCTGTTGTCATTTCTTTGTAGAAGTTGGCAGATATAGGGTCTCATATATAAATCTTGATATGTTTGCCACAGATGTCCATCAAACCCCTTCGACTCCCTAATATTGCTATCTTTATAAATGGTTATTAAGAAGCAACGAATATGATGTTTTTGTTCCAGTAAAAAGGTTAGAAAGCAAGATTATCTTCTAAGGTGTCCATCACATTTTGAAATTAATAGAAACAGTTTTTCATGGTTAAAAATTTAGTTAAATTTGTAGGATTTTGTTTGTTCCGACAGTTTAAAGAAGAAATCCAAGTCCAAAGTGATCAAGCCCAGCGAGAAGCTAGAAAAGGAGACGAACTTAAAAAGGAGTTGAGTCAATCAAAGAGCGATTTAGAAAATAGAACTGCTGAGCTGAAGACAAAAACAGAAAATCTTCAACGTGCACAGGAAGACATCACAAAACTTGACCAGCAACTCAAGGAACAGAGGGTAAATTTGTTAAGAGTTTCTATTCAATTTTCATGTCTTCAAACGTTCATGTCAATATTCGCGCGATAGAAAAAAAACTTTTAGGCTTCCCCTGGTTATGGATACTTCTTTAATTAGAGAGGAATGGCTTTCAAGTGTCGATGATAATATTTGGTTTATTTTAGATAATGAATGAAAAAGCTGTGGAGTATACGGGTGTGTTGAATGCTCGCCTAAACAAAGTCCAGCAAGATTTTGATCAGCAACTTATCAGCATTGATCGGCTGGCCACGGAAAACACACAGAAGGCAACCGAGTTGAAGGCAAAGGAAGACGAGATAAACGGGCTGAGACAGGAAACACTGCACCAAAGTGCAATAGGAGAAGCCATCCAGAGAAAGCTGAGAGCCATCGAGGATCAGAAGATTGAGGCTGAACAACGAGAAGAAACTCTTAAAGGACAAGTTTCTGCCTTGAAAAAAGGTAAGTGGAATGATGGTATGAAAAGGGAATGTTCGTCTTTTTTAAAAACTAGGCAGATCTCAGACATATCTGGCTTTCCCTTTTCTTCAGTTCTAGAGTAGCCCAACGAGGCAAAGTCACCTTAATCGTGATTTTGCGTGTAGATTTAAGGGACTTACAAATATAGACAAGGTCAATTACAAATTGCAGCTTTTTCCAAGTGTTATCCTGTTAAATAAGTTATCTTTGTTGTATGATTAGTACTAAGGTGAGCTGCAATTTATGCAACGGCAGGAAAGAAACTTTTCCAGTCTCCCAGACACTAGTTGTGTGTAACTACCGACTGAGCTACGAAGCCACACGCTGGGAGCAGGACACATTTTAAAGGATTCTTATAATAATTAATTTTAAGTGCAATGTTGAAAATAGAGAGTAATTTATGGGTGCGCATTGATATGGAATTTCTCTTCGAGTGTTCCATATCTATAATTAACTGTGTAATATATAGATTTAGCCAAGTCTAAAAGAGGAGCTCGCTTTTTTTTTCCCGTACGTCCCAAGGGTTCAACGCCTTGCGCCGGCCAGGACTAGAACCCAGGTCGTCCGACTCGGAACTCAGTGCACTGACCACTGGACTACTGGACAGAGCCGTGGCGGTGGAGTGCCCGCGGCACAGTTAACAACACATCTTAAAAGTAGCACCTTGTACGGTCGTACCGTCGTGCGGTCGTACATCCAAATTCACGATGAAAAAATGCGTTGAATTATTACAAAAAAAAACAATAAACATACTTTTCACTTAAAAAAAATTCTTAGTTATTGACTTTGTCCTCACCGACAGAAGAAATATTTCACGTACAGTGCCAAAATCGGCCAGTGGCAACTCTACCAGCTTGGCTCCAGCAGTCGATTGTTGTTCTCAGCCGCGAGAAATGCCATTACCAAAGCCACTGAATACGTAACTTTCGGTTTTTCTTTTCGCACTTTGGTTTTCTTCTCATTCTAGAAAAGTTTGAACGTCTGTGTCTGTGAATGATACGGATTTTTCAGTTTTTTAACAGCCATAATCCGAGAAAATTTCGACAAAAGACCTTGGATTGAGAATGGTCAAGGCTTTATTGTTCATTCATCAACCTAACAGAGTGACGAGAAAGGCGAGTGACGTGCTAGCAGCTGATTGGCGATATCAAACACACGCGAAAAAATATCGTATCTTTTCAAGTGTGTTGTTACGGCTTTTCTCAGGGCTGGAAATCCTAGTATAACACCATAGTTTATATGATAAATTATGTTATTATTCATCGTGGTGAATAACTTGATAGGTGTTTAATCGTTTGTCTTATGATAAAGAGTCAGGCAACCAATTCATATTGATAGCCTGACTCTATATCTTGAGATAAACGATAAAACATCTATCAAATGTTTTAGTTCTTGTTAAAAGTTGATGTAATTACAAATCATGATAATTAGATTGTTTGACATATTTAGAAATTAAGATTACTCAAATGAGATTTAACCTTTACAATCTATAGAATTTCTCTGCCTTTATCTTAATCAGAACTTGAATCAAGCAGGAAGCAGACTGAAGCAGATAAAAAAGCCATCGATGATCTTGTCTGTGCAAGGGACATCCTTAACAAGGTACTTCAACCTTGTCAATTTTACTCTTAATCTGAGCTTGGGTGTTTTAGGGTTTTGGTTTTTAGAAGAGGATGTTATATCTAGTATTTGCTTTTATTTTAGTTTATCAATCTTTTAAAAAGTGTCCAAATTCTGTTATAACCTCAGGAACATTGATGTTTGATTAAAAGGGAACGTGGATTTTGGATGAAACATCGTTCTTTTTATGAAAAAGATCATCGCTTAGATAATTCTCCTTAGATGGGCTAAAAACAGGACCAGGACCTCATCCTGTTTGCTGCGTTATGAATGCACTTGAATCGAATCGAATGTTTGTCCATTGCAGGTTCCCCTCCTCCCACCCCTCCCCTGGACTGACTGCTGGTCCATTACAGGTAACTCTCCTCCCACCTCACCCTTAGGAGGTTTGAGGCACCCTAAGGCACCGCAATTTTTCTCATCCTATGTTATTGAGTATAATTAATAAGAGAGAGGATTTGAGTTTGTCTATGTGCTTAAATACACACAGGAGGAGATGGAAGCAAAAGAAAAAATAAAAATGTAAGTACTAAAGGTTGTCTCATTCGTTGCATTAGCACCGTGCTTTTTAAGTGCTTTCATGTCTCCCGATCTTGCTGCAAATGTATAAGCTAGAAAGTTATACCTGTGTCAACTTGTGGTTAATGTTTGCTTACCTGAAAAATACTGAAATTAGTAAACAACTGCTAAGTCTGTCTTAGAGTCAAATTTTGGCATCGCAAGCTGTCGGATTATTCGCACACAATCAATTATCAATTAATCAATTTGGGAAGTTACAACCTTTCCCCCTTATTTTAGACCCTGCAGCACCCTTTTGCCTCTCTCGTAATACTTAATTCCTTGTTAAAAATTAACACTTCTTCTATAATTAGTAAGAGCCATAAACATTTCTATTTGCTTGAAAATATTTGGTTCACATATTTTCCCAATTTTAAACTATTCCTTAACGCTATAAGAGTTAAGGAGCTCCAGTAAAATGACACAAAAGGACATTTTGTTTGTCTTCGTGAAGTGATATCACAGAGTGTTGTAAATTTTTTTCTTCTTTTTACAGAGAATTGAAGAAATTAGAGAGAAACTTCACTATCTATCGCTTGGAGGTAAAATATCTGTAATTGAGCACTTTGTACGTAGAACGCTTTATCTGGTTGGTGAATCTGATTTCCAAGCTAATGCGTTAAGCGGAATCAAGTGACAAATATTTTTATGTTTGTATTTACGGGCGAAATATTTGAAGATTATTGTCTTACCGAAACGATTGATGAGATTGGAAACATGCCGTTGCACTTAAAAGTGTCCATTAAATTTTGAATCTTGTCGCGCCGTAAAAGTGAAAGGGCTTGTCCAAATATCTTTAAACTGCTCGAAAAAAAAAGACACAAAAGCTGGTTTCTTCTTGTTCAAGAAACTGTTTAAGCATTCTTGTGACTTCTTTTTGATTTTGACGAGACCTCTGTGAAAGATCTACTTTGAGCAGAGGCGTCCAGAGCAATTTAGAGAAAAATATTGCATTACAGGTAATTTAGCGTAACGACCAGTAAACTTCTATTCACGGCTCGGATTACTGTCTTTCAATTTCACCAAAGTAACAATAAAAAACCACCCGCTACTTGCAACTGAGAAGTGTTGACGGGGAAATCTTGAGGTGTTTCAAAGTACCTCCGAACAATATCGGTAAACATAGTCTTGTAATTGGTTTTTCAGGGGAAGATGGCTCTGAATGACATGGAGAAGTAAGTAAAATAATATAATTATTCGCTTATCAGCAATGGTTAGAAGACTGTTTCTAAGATGAAGTTTTCTGAGAGTGTAGCCCTGTTGAGAGGCTGGGTTGAAATCATGGTCACAGAAACGCTTGAATTTTTGGAAATGAAGATCTATAGCCCGTTATCAGTGGAGAAAATAGAGGAAAAATCTATAATAAGCAGTCGAAATACTTCTCAAGTTTTCTAATCTGGTAAATTTGTGAACCATGCAGTTCAAATTTATTTACAAATTAAGGTGAGTGGAAAATTTCGAGGTGAAAATTTTATCTAAATTTCTTTCTAAAAATGCAAATAGCACGTGTACTGAGAAATTTGGCTACAAATTTTTCTCAGAGAAAATTCCAATAGCTCCGTAATATCTAGATAATTTGATTACTTGTCGACATAGCAGCAAAGAGTTGATCATCTAAAAAGCCTCGGTGAAGCTTTTCTAACTTTTAAGTAAATTCAACCATTTAGTAGATCACGACTTATTAAATTATTTAAGTTCATAAACCTTACTGGAAGAGTAAAATTCCATGTTGTATTTCACTTTTTACAGCAAATTGGAGGATGCGAAGAAAGCTCTAGCAGATGTAAGTATACTTGAGAAATGTCAGCATTCACTTGCAGCACTTTAATTTGTTTTCAGCTTTAGAAATCTGTAATTATTCATTTCAGCTTTTCTTGTAACTTGTAAAGAAGTGCAAACTATCTAACCAACTGAACTTGTCAGCGTGATTGAGTATGTCTTAGGATGTGGGTCCTGATCAAAGTATTCAAAAAGCTGAAAAAAAGATCTCCCTCTCTGATCGTCTGTTGAAATTGGAATACTACGACTTTATTATGGCACAAGCAAAGTGTAGTTAAATGCATGTGAACGCTCATCACCGCATGCAAAGTGTCGATTCCCGGTTGAATTGATTCATTTTGTTTCATCAGAAACTTTTAATAGCCATATAACTATAAATTTGATAACCTCGACCGTTCACTTGTTTTTAAAAACACCTCAAATCTCGGCTTCAGTTTGAGATATCAAGGACATCATTCTCGGTTATTAAGTAGTTAGAATGGATTGCCTTTTTTGGGAACTTGTCAAAGAAACTACTGTCTTGATTTTTCCATCACAATGTCAAGACAAACTTACTATCTTAGGAGCTGTTAAAGATTGTAAACAACAATATAATTTAGTTTAAAATTATAATTAGGACCTTTCCGCACTGGCGACTGACTTGTTTATTTAGACAAATTTTCTTTCATCACGAACATTTTACAAGTGCGGATGGTTTGTCGCAACTTCACAAATTTTGGCCAAATCAGACATATCTTCAAACGCACCGCCGATAAACCAAACCTTTATAACCTTGTCAATCATTTGTCGTAAAACTATGACAAGTGTGTAATTGAACTGAAATCAGTTTACTAGAAAGGCAAAAATTGTCATTTGCTGCAAAACTCGGGCATTTTATATTTTTAAAACGACCTAGGACCAATCTGGGAAATTGATTTGAAATTGACGAAAATCGCCCTAATTTATAACCTAAAAACGTAAGTAGGTAGCTCTTGCCGAGATAACTCGGCCTACAATCCTCTGAAATCATCTTTACACATAACTTTAAGTACTTGAAACTCCCAAGGATGGGTATTGTGATAGGAGTGATATTACCCTTTAGACGGTCTTTACAAGAACTACTGAAACAATATCAACATCCCGTTACACTTAAAACAGCGAGCAATCCAAATGTTATACCATTATCACTGACAAACACTGCGTTTCTCTTTTGCTAGGGTAAAAGAAATCAAGGAAAAAGAAAAAGGCTGGACGTATTTAAATGTCTTTAATTTACCTCTTTATTTTCTTTTATTATTAATGTCAATTATTTTTTCACGATGTACTGCAATTTTTCATCCTCTTTTCCAATTTTTTAATGCTTTTTCTACGATCTTTTTAGCTTAGACAATACCTTCCTTTGTTCGGTTTCGGTTTAGAAGTTTTTGTTATTACTGGTGTCAATTATATTTATGTGACGTGCTACAGCTTTTCATTCTCTTTCGCCATTTATTAATGCTCTTCCTACGATCTTTTATCTTAGACAGTAACTTTATTTTTTTGGGGGTTCAGTTTTAGAAGTTTTTTTTTTATTACTGATGTCAGTTATATTTATACGACGTGCTGCAATTTTCCTCTCTCTTGGTTTTTAATTCCTTTCGCAATTTAATGTTCTACGATCTTTTTATCTGATAAAGTACTTTTCTTTTATTAGGTTTCGGTTTTAGAAGTTTTTTGTTTATTGCTGATGTCAATAATATTTATAACACGTCCTACAATTTTCAATCTCTTTGTTTTTGAAATCATTTCGCAATTTTTAGTGCTCTTCCTACCATCTTTTTATTTTAGGCAAAACCTTTCTTTTGTTCAGTTTCGGTTTTAGGAGTTTTTTTTATTACTGATGTCAATAATATTTATATGACGTGCTGCAATTTTTGTTCTCTTTGTTTTTGAATTAATTTCGCCATTTTCAATGCTCTTCCTACCATCTTTTTATCTTAAGCAGTACCTTTCTTTTGTTCGGTTTCCGTTTTAGAAGTTTTCTATCGTCAGAAACTTCACATGTGTGGCTATCATTGGCATCTCAGGTAAGAAGGATTCGATTCTCATAATAGTGGCCACAACCAAAACTATCAGTCGCAAAGTCTTGCACCAGACGACCTCCACAAATCGAACTCGACCGACTTGCTACTATCATCGCCGTTGGATTTTCTCTTTCCATGCACAAGGGAGACTCACTGTTCACTGCCTGAGTAATGTTTCGCTCAGGTAGAATTACACCATCTCTGTTTCATCATCAACAACTTACAGTTAGCTCCACCACCGCTGGAAGAAACAACCTCGGTCAATTACCCTGCCTCGCCACTAGGTCGCAACCAGACCACCTCGACCAACACTGCCGGATTAGCTGCGTCTACCAATACAGCCAACTGAAGACGGCCTCCGCCAGCACAACGAGCGAGACCACTTCATCCTGAGCACTCAACCGGGCCACTCTTTCGGCACAACTAACTGTGCTTTCTCGACCAAAGCAGCCAAATGGAGGGCATGGCTGTCTCCACTACTTCCGGTAGCACAACCAACTTCATCACAGAAACACAGCTGTGATCACATACTGCTTCAGACGACCTCTTTCTTCCCTACAACTGCTTTTAATCAACAAATTACGACTGGTGACTCTCTCTAACTTCTACCTAAAATGAAAGTTTCTCTAGTCA